CACACACACACACACACACACACACACACACACACACACACACTGTTCCTCAGATGCTGGTTCAGGATACACGAGGCAGCAATGAATGAATGAACTTTGTTTGTTTTCATATACCAGGCGTTACTGGGCCACACGGATGCTGTGACGTGTCTCACAGCGTCGTCAGCGTACCACATTGTTGTCAGCGGCTCGCGGGATCGAACCTGCATCATCTGGGACCTCAACAAGCTTTCCTTCGTCACGCAGCTCAGGGGACACCGGGCACCCGTCTCTGCTCTGTGTATCAATGAACTGACGGTGGGTGAAGCTAAAAAAAAAAAAAAAAAAAACTGAAATCATGGTCCTCTGCATCGTTGTGAAATGAGGACGAACATAATGAAAAGATAATATTTGTGTTTGTTCAGGGCGACATCGTGTCGTGTGCAGGAACATACATCCACGTGTGGAGCATTAACGGCAGCCCCATCGCCAGCGCCAACACCTTCACCGGACGCAGCCAGCAAATCCTGTGCTGCTGCGTGTCGGAGATGAACGAGTGGGACACACAGAACGTTATAGTCACGGGACACTCCGATGGTGTCGTCAGGGTAACCATAGAATGTGTTCATTGCTGTTGCTCTTCAGATAAACAGGTTTTATTATGTCTGTTCAAAACTTTTCTATTTTTTCACAGTTTTGGAGAATGGAGTTCCTCCAAGTCCCAGAAACCCCTGCTCCAGTGCCAGTCGAGCCAGATGTGCCTGACTGCTGTGGCGAGGAGAAGATCGGTGAGTCCATCTGACTTTCACATCAGCGACATGGCACCGTGTCCTAAAATATAACTGACGAGGTTTCTGTCCGTCACAGAAGGCGGCGAGAGTCACAACGGTGACGATGACAGCAGCGAGTCAGACGGAGATGAACCCAGTCTGAGCCAGGAGCCCAAAGCTCCACGCAACCCCTCAACAGGCGGAGGCAGCCAGCCGGGCAGCGCCGTCCACAGACCCCGAGGTAAACATCGACTCCACTACCAGTCACTGTGAATGTTTCCACAGCTGCAGCACGGCTGGACTTTTAAATTCTGCAGGAACGAACAGAGCTGATGCTGAAATATAACTTCTGAATTCTGAAAACTGGATTTAACTCTTCGTTCGTCAGTTTATTTAACTTTGTACGTGAAGTTGGTTTGTCACTCCACCTCCTGTTAATGTTAATGTCTTGAGACATGAGTGTCAAACCATAGTGACGTTCTCACCTCCTGACAAATAAAACACCTTTTAGGTCCCTCAGCCCGAGCGGGAGCGTCATGGTCGATGGACAGCGGCTCCGACGACTCTCACCGCTGGTCAGACACACTCAGCATCGACGAGAAGGACGGCTTCGTGTTTGTCAACTATTCTGAGGGACAAACCAGAGGCCCTCACCCTCACCCTCACCCTCACCCTCACCCAACACATCCAGGCCACAGCTCTGTGCCTCAGCCGCTCCAGCCCTCTGTCATGGAGGCACGGACATACAACCAGCTCAGGGCAGGTGTGTGTCCAAATATCGTGGTTTTAAGTTTTTAAGGCAAAGCAACATTTTCTGAATCTGATGAAGAGGCGTTTGTTGCATTGTTAAAACGCTGCTGCTTTATTTTGGTGTGTCCGCAGGCTACAGATGGGAGCGCCAGCTGGTGTTCCGGAGCAAACTCACCATGCACACAGCGTTTGATCGCAAGGACAATGCTCACCCAGCAGAGATCTCCTCCCTCGCTATCTCCAAGTAAGAAAGATGGAGGAGCGTGTGCAGCAAACTGACTGGTTTTTATATCGTTCCTGATCAGTGGACGCAATAAATTCTTCGTCAGTCCTTCCGCTGACCTCCTGCTTTTCTCTGCTTTTAACGTCGTCTCCTCAGGGACCACAGTAAGATCCTGGTGGGCGATGGCCGCGGTCGGGTCTTCAGCTGGTCGGTCAGCGACCAGCCGGGCCGGTCGGCAGCGGATCACTGGGTGAAGGACGAGGTGGTCGACAGCTGCTCCGGTTGCTCGGTTCGTTTCTCCCTCACTGAGCGACGCCACCACTGCAGAAACTGCGGGCAGCTCTTCTGCCAGAAGTAAGAAAATCACTGCAGCCTTCAGTGATCGGACTTCTGTTACATCTTTTTATTTTTTCAAAATCACCGAAAACCTTCTCTGTCAAGTTCTTACAACAAGTGACGTCAAAACATGATGCACCAAGGGAAATTATTGATTATTTAAGTATGAATTCTTTGTTTTCTTTATTTATTAATGATCCTCTGCATCTTCCAACCTCTGGTGTTTCCCAGGGCTCCGTCCCGGGTCCCCTCTTATTTTATCTCTTCTCTTTTTGCAACAGCTTCATGACGTCTTGCTCACCCCCCCCCGACCACATTTTGAAATGTTCACCTTGTCTCTCTGTGTCTTTCAGGTGCAGTCGCTTCCAATCAGAGATCAAAAGGCTGAAGATCTCGTCGCCGGTGCGGGTTTGTCAGAACTGTTATTACAACCTGCAACACGAGCGAAGCGTCGAGGACGGCTGCAGAAACTGAGCTCGAACTCCTCCTCTCGGGGATCTGAGGAGAATTTCACTCATTCGTCTGCGTCGTTATTTCCTCATCACCCCCTCCCCCCCGATAATCTGAATCTCTCTCCCTCTTAACCCCCTTTACCCTTTGGTTTGTACAGTAACACACTGACAGACTAGAACAGGAAGAACGTCGGTCGTTTCATCTTTGCGACAGTAAAACTCAACGAAGGAGAGCGGGGGGGGAAAGGAGGTAGAACATGATGCAAAGGAAATGAAAGCTCAATCACCACTTTGCCACCTGGTCTCGTCCCCTGGAGGAAAAAAAACCCACCCTCGAGTGCGGTACGCTTGAATCAGTCACCCGCCATCTTTGTGTTGAGTTCAAGAAACGTGGAAAAACTCCTTCCTCTGTCACCGCGAGACGTAAGAAACTTGTTTATATTGTAGATATTTAACATGGCCTTTTTAACTGGAAGAGGAACAAACAGAACAAAAAATAAGGTCAATGAAAAAAGAGCAAAAACTAAGGAAATTGCCTGGAGCATAGCGTTGTGACTAACCACTCCTGGCTTTTAAAAAAAAGAAAAAAGAAAAAGAACAAAATCGATGGTGTCGTCACAGCGAGTTCAGCGTTCAGAGTCACATGGGAGGGAAATGAATGTCAATAATTAATGTCAGTGGGTTGAATTTACTCGTGCGTCTAGTTAATATGCAAAATTACTTCTTTTCTTTTTTAATTTCGTGTTTGTTTTGTTGTTGTTTACAAAAAATGTGATTAATTTTGTGCGTGTGCGTCGCCACCACACACATTTACTATCAGATCGTCTTTTCTTTCTTTTGCCAAATTGTTTAAATGTATGAATTAGGAGGATTTTTTTTTATCCTTAAATCATCTTTTCTGTCCGTTATATGAATTCCTTCTTTTTCTGAGAATCTTTGTTGTTGCTGCTTTTTTAAAAAGACTGGACACGTTATCACGTCAGATTCTT